GCCTGAGGTGGCTCGCAACTCAAAACTCAGGCACCAGCCCCGCACGCATCACCGGTGACGTAATGCTCAACTATTACGTCTCTCTCGCCGCTCAGGGAAGCCGTCATGGAAATCTCAACACCAAACAAACGGCTTCAAGGGAGCACAAGGCTGAAACATAACAAAAAGGGCAGCAATTGACGATCACCCCCTTTTTCCGATCGCATGTTGTGCCACGGCTGGCGGCCAATGCCTCTGCGCCGGCCCAGTTCCCGTCGCGGGCTTGTCCAACTTTTTCGTTGCGGATTACCCGCTGCTGAGGCCGAGTGCGAAGCGCCACCTCGGAGTCTTCGGCCCAAGTGTGAAGCACACTCGCCCAAATTTGCGGTGACCCTTGTCTAGGTAATCATGGCATTATTTTGTTCAGTTGGAGAGATTGAAGACTGCTTCTACTACTATCCCGCTAAAGATAGGTGGGTGGGTTAAGCGATGCAGGTATGACTGCGGGGCGGGCTGCATAATCCGCCCGCCAGCACTTTCCGCGAGCTGCCGGCTGATGGAATAATGAGGCCCAGCGAGCAGTAGCAGCTTTTGGAGCAAAAGCTCTTCTTGTGCGAAGCTGACCTTGGAAGCAAAGTGAGGTGGAAACAAGCGGCCAGGTGCTTCTGGCTGGAATATTTACCACGCCGTTGACCCCGCTGAGCCTAAGTCTGGGCCTCCGTCTCTCCCGCTTTTAATCCAACTCCTGCCTTGATCTTACGCGCACTTGAACACTTTTGAGTGTGCTAGCCGCGGGTCTGGTTCCATACTTTGTTCTATTCATTAGGTTACCTCCTCCGACCTACAACTTTGCGTTCGCCGGTCGTCACTCTGTGCGAAAGTGCGAAAATCCTACATCATCATCATCCCGTAGCCGTCCTTGCGCCCCCCCAGTCGAGATCGACACCGCGTCCCTCATCAGCCAAGCGTACGCCTCCCCGCAGTCTACGTACGGTTCAGGCAAAGCTTCTCAGCAATTCAGCCCCAGAAGGCGAACGGCTAGAGCCGCGCACACAGCTTTCCCATCTCGCACGAGACGAGGGAAATACCCGAACCAACCTGAGAGCTTCCCAACCGACGCAGGAGCAGCACAAGGCGTTAACGCACGGGCACGAGGAAGCGAAATCGCCGTCATGACGGGTAACTCAATGATTGAGGTGCGTTTGGATGGGGCTTCTTCCAAGTTTTTTTTTCTACTTCGGCTCATGTCGTTCATTGCCCCTCCTCCTTGCCCCGCGCTGGGGGAGTGGGCTCCGTCGGGTCGAGGCATGCCCGTCCGTAATTCGGGACCCTGACGTGGTTGAGCCCAATGATGGATGCTGCTGTTTTTGGCTGCTGTTTTTGGCTGCTGTTGCGTATTTTCCCGCTGTTTTGCTTGCCAGGGAAACGAGAGGGTCAAGAGTCAACAGAACGTCAATGAGCCAGCCTTTTGCTTTTGTCAGGCTCTCGCTGACGTTCTTTTGACAACTCTTGACCCACCTCTTTAAGCAAAGCAGCGGAAAAGGGCACTCCACAGGTCTGCAACGGCTTCAAAATCTTGGCTTCATCCTCTCCACAGATTGAGGGTTTGGCATGCAGATGACCCTGATTACTAAGGCACCCAACCACCCCTCCATCTCGCGACGTCATCGGTCTTTGGGCTTTGTTGATGTATTCTCTGCCCTCCCCTTCCCTCCTTCCCCCTCATCCTGACCTCTGGGCATTCATCAAATCCACCAAGCACTTCCCCTCACAAAACCAAGTCGCGAAACCCTAAACGGCAAAAGAGAAGAAGCAGCAGCAGCCGCTCAACAAAAGGGAAAGAGGCGTCACAGTACCCTCTTCTCTCATTCGTACCTGCCCTCTTTCACCCGTCCCAAATTACGTCGGACTCTCTCCAAGCTATTCATCATTCGTCATTTGCCCTTGAGCCTACTTCTTTGCTACTCCCTTTTCGTCACTACTTCCTTCCTTCCTCCCCCCCCCCACCACTCACCCCTCAGACATCACACATCACCCCCCCCCCCCCCCCCCCCCCCCCCCCCCCCCCCCCCCCCCCCCCCCCCCCCCCCCCCCCCAAGCCCCTACCTCACCCTTCACACACCCTCCCCCAAGCTACTACATCTTCATCCTGCAGACAAAGCCTCCCTTCCCCCGATCAACCCCACTTTCTTACAAACCTTCTTCCCCCCACACTCCTCCCTCCACACTCTGCTCACCATCATGGACACCCTACAGACCTTCAAAAACCTGATCCGCCACGGCAGGCAAGCTCGCGGAGCCGAACCAGCAACCTCAAACGTCCATGCCGAGCGGACACACCGTCACGTTCACGCTCACACCGATCCCAACATTCCCGATGTCAACCCGCCTCCACCAAATCCCCCCCATGGAGATTTCTCCGCTGCTGCTGTCGACAACCGCGGCGTGGCTGCTCGCGCTAACGACGTAGCTGCGCGCGCTGTTGACGATGCCCGCAAGCGGGACGCAGCCAAAGAGGCTACGGCTAAGGCTGCGAAATCGAAGGACATCGATCCCTCGGTCCTGGAACGCATCGTGGCGGAGGAGCGCGAGAGCAAGGGCAAGCTGCCCAAATATCCCGGTCTCGATCGCTATGTATTGCAGGAGAAGATGGGCGACGGTGCCTTCAGTAACGTCTATCGTGCCCGTGACACGACTGGGGAATACGGCGAGGTTGCCATCAAGGTGGTTAGAAAGTTTGAGATGAACTCAAGCCAGGTTCGTGTCAAATTCCCTTCCCGCGTTGATTTTTTACGAGTTTTCGTGATTTGCCTGCTTTTCTTTTCTTCATCGAACCTGGCCAACGTTGTGGGAACGGTCTAGGGCGATGACGTTTTACATCCGGACTTCAAAAAAGCGCCCAAAACCGTGGAGGTGCGACTCCCACTCCGACTTCCTTCATGAACCTTTTGAGCGTGTTTGTAGAGACTTGAGAGTAGGTGCTGACGTCAGTCCCAGCGTGCCAACATCCTCAAGGAGGTCCAAATTATGCGAAACCTGGACCACCCCAACATCGTCAAGCTCGTCGAGTTCTCCGAAGCTCGGCAGTACTACTACATTGTTCTCGAACTGTGCCCCGGCGGAGAGCTGTTCCATCAGATCGTTCGTCTTACCTACTTTAGCGAGAACCTTGCGCGTCACGTCATCGTTCAGGTGGCCAAAGCTCTCGAGTATCTGCACGAAGAAGCTGGCGTCGTCCATCGGTGAGTATCTCGGTGATGATGGTGAGGGGTTTGCTGACGTCATGGTAGTGACATCAAGCCTGAGAATCTTCTCTTCTACCCGACACCCTTCATCCCTTCCAAGAATCGGAAAACGAAGGCGACTGATGAAGAAGACAAGGCCGACGAGGGCGAGTTCATTCCGGGCGTCGGTGCTGGTGGCATCGGCGTCATCAAGATTGCCGACTTTGGCCTGTCCAAGGTCATCTGGGACAGTCAGACGATGACTCCCTGCGGCACGGTTGGATATACCGCACCGGAAATCGTCAAGGATGAGCGGTACTCTAAGAGCGTCGACATGTGGGCCATGGGTTGCGTGCTGTACACGCTTCTCTGCGGCTTCCCGCCCTTCTACGACGAGAGCATCCAGACGCTCACCGAAAAGGTCGCCCGCGGCCAGTACACCTTCCTCTCGCCCTGGTGGGACGACATCTCCAAGTCCGCGCAGGACTTGGTTTCCCATCTCCTCACGGTCGACCCGGCGAAACGTTACGGCATCAAAGAGTTCTTGAACCACCCGTGGATCAAGGAGTCTCAAGAGCCGACGTACCCTGCTGCCGATGCGCCTCCACTGGCAACCCCTCTCCCTCAAGAACAACCTCAGGAGAAGAACTTCCCTCCGCTTTCGTACCTCGAGGAAGCCACTCCTGGCGGCGGCCCGGCGCGTCGCATGGACTTCCGCTCACCCGGCGCCGTCAACTTGCGCGAGCTGTTTGACGTCGGCTACGCTGTGCATCGCCAGGAGGAGGAAGCGAAGCGGCGGACGCGTTTCGGCGGGCGGGGTATGAACAACCTCAACGCCTTGAATGAGGAGGACATGGACGAGGATGAATCACACAACATCTCGCTGTCGGCGCCGTACTCGCACGGCGAGCACGAAGGTCCGCCAGCCAAGGTGCCTCGCAACGCGGATGTCGGTTCTGTGGAGCGGCAGATGCGGAACGCGAGCTTGAGCGCTGCGGCACAGGCGCGGAAGCCAGGTGGCACTACAGCGGCACCGCGAAGCAGTCGTGCCCAGGGCTACGGTCAACACTCTCCCGAGGTAGCGCAGGCGGCGCGGAAACAGGTGCGCAACCGCGCGGCTGGGCAGTTCGAGCTGAGCCTGGATAATGCAACGCTGCTGGGCCGTCGTGGAAAGAAGGGTGACGGGGAAGGTGGGAATCCGAGCCCGTTGGGTAGAGAGCTTAGGGTGTGAGACTTGGAGGCGTTGTAGACGGGTAGTAGGTACATGGTCCACTTTTCCTCTGGTTTTAAGATGAGCTTGACTGGACTGGTGTGATGGAAATTATGGCTTGCATTTCTGGGTCGCTTTGTATGTCTCTTTTTCCTGTGCTGAGCTTTTGTCCGGCGGAATTGAGTGTGCGTTTCGGGAGCTGGTGCTGGGGTTGGAACGGGTTCGTAGGTATGGATTTATCATGCTTGATGCTGCAAGGGTGGGTAGAGAGCGTGTTCCCGGTGCTTTAAGTGTTGGTAGAAAAATGCCACTCATTGCGATGAGGGTTTGAGAATCGCATCATCGAGCTGTACATTTGCCTCTAATGCGTAGTGCACTGCCCAGCGCGAACGCAAGGCTGCTCAATCTAACCGTCACTCTCTCCTCACCACATCAACTTCAATACCCACGTAGACCTTTGTAGCTTGGTGTTTCCAGTGGACGTGGCTTCTGGCGGTCGCCCGGGGAAAATCGTATTGAGGTCCGGGAAAGCCTTGGCTCCAGCAACAAAGGAAATATCAGAAAGTGCACCATCAATAAGCCCAACTGCGCCGGTAGTTTAAGGGTAGAATTTAGCCTTCCCAAGGCTGAGGTCCGAGTTCGATTCTCGGCCGGCGCACTGTTTTTATCTTGTTCATTAATGGGCACGCCCTTTTTGCTGTTTTGAAGGTGCGTAGATGGTTGAGAGGTACGGGAAGGTGCGGGGAGGTGTTCGGGACGGAGGATTCGGGACCTCAGCTGCGTTTACGGCGGATATCCACCTGTCCGCTGGCCACTTCAATGTTCACTTTTGACTTGTAGAACTAATTCTTACTGGAACTCACTGGAATGGCTTTTCAGACACTATGTCGAGGTCATGCATAATGAAGAAAATTCAATCCCAAATTGCCATCTCATACAAGCGGAACCTTATCTTCATGAGCACCTAGCAAGTTCGATTCTAGCTTTCATAATGGAGCATAGCCTAAGCACGAGCGGAAGCAACGAAGTTGCAAAGTGAAAGTTGATCATGATTTTTGGATAGCGACAGGATAACTATGGCAAGCCACGATGGACTATCGTGGTACCGCTTCGCCGCTCCCATCTCGCTCCTCTCTCTTCGTCTTTTGATGCTCCTTCCAATGGTGATATTTCGCCTGCCTTGAGAGTACACCATCCTCAATCAATAGCTTCCCGCGATGTCCGAAGCTCTGCTTTTCGGCTAAAGGGTTTGAGACTAGAATCCCTTATCCAACTTCGAGAATCTCGCGCAACAGACCGTCGTTGATGGCGTCCATGGGTACTCCATAACACGGTGTGAGGAAAGTGTTGAGAGCGTACCGTTGGATATATGGCTTCGGACCAACCTCTGCGGAGGCCTGGGCGCCGTTGAAGAGGGGGCTGATCAAGACATTCGACTCCAAATCAAACATGCCGCGATAGCTCTTCACAGCCGCTCGGTTCAGGGTTGCTGAAGCCGCTTTCCGCTTCCGCCGACACGACTCGTCCCATGGACTGGTTTCTGCTGAAAAGCCCTGGGTCGAGGAAATCACATCATGGAAAGTGGTACAACCGCGGGCGATCGATGGTACTGGCCGCGTTGCCGACGTGAATGCGGCGGCTCCCTTGGTACGAGCTGAGAGCAACAGCGTCACGTGGAGCCGAGTCGGACTTGGAACACGGGATACTGGTGCTTCCTCCGTAGCCTTTGACACGCCGAGGCATGGTCCTTTCCCAGAAGAAGCACATGGCTGGTGAGTGGGAGGGCTCCTGGAATATCTGGAATGCCTTTGATCTTGGGTATGCCCGTCCGGCTCAGAAACTAGCTTTGGAGTCAGAGAAATCGAAAAGTCGCCTATGGAAGCACCTATGTGCCAAAGGGAAAGCACCCCTATGGGCACAAGGTACATGAAGGTAAAGTTTGGATGTGCTCGAGGCCTGGAGATGGTGTTGAATCGACCGAATGCCACGGGGTGCACTTGGTCTCGTCGCTGCTCCAAGGCATGAGCTTCGTCATATAAACGAATGAGGTCCGAGGAGCGCGTCCGAGATGTCAACGCCGTTACGTATCGGGAAATAGGGATTTCTCGGCGTGGACTGTCTGGAAGTCGATGCGCTCCATCAATATATACGCCAGAAAACACCTATTCCTCGATAACTGAGTTAAGATCTCAGACGCGCTCCTGGGATCTCACTCGCTCATACGACGAAGCTCATGCTTTTGCTTTTGGATCAACGACAAGACAAAGCTTTTTTTAAAAAGGTGCGTTCGGAGGATAGTCATGCCGGGCCGTCACTGTCTCCATCAGCCACAACCGCCAACGTCAAGCGGCCCCTTGGGCCATCGACCGCGACGCGCCTGGGCATCACCGGCTTTTTGAGAGAATTTTGCGGCACAGCAGAGAGATAAGAGCTTTTGGATAACTTGAGAATGATAACTAGCAAGCAGTTTCATCCACCCCAGCGCTTCTTTGCGCCTAATACAAGGCCTTCGTCATTCTCTGCTGGAATTCCACAACCGTGATATCTTCATACTTTGGGGGAGTCTGGGGTTGCAAAGTACGACAAAGGACCGGCTGAGGTCATGCGGCTCGCTGTAAAGAAGAAGATGCTGGAGTATCGGTCTGGGCACACACCCTCCTTGAGGCCCTTCATGGAAGGCGGAATTGTCAGTTGATGAACACCCGCCTTGACGTCATCCTTCGTCCAACGTTGAATTTTTCCCTCAAACGGTCTCGCGCGATCGGCGCGCGCAGCCAAATCCACTCATGTGCGAAGCAACGGTCTAGGACAATTCAAAAGGCAAGGGACAAGGAGACATGATCGCATTTGCGCATGTAAAATATGTCATACAAGCACGGTCCTGGTGGATCGGCGCGTGCCGTGCGGGAAGGATGAGGCTGCGGACCGGCCCGACGGGCGCCAAGGGGCTCAAATGACTTTGTTTTGCGGGGTAGCGGGGCGCCGATGTCGCGGCAGACGTGCTCATCGTTGCAGGTGGTCCAAGGAAATATATGGGAAAGAGTAATGTGGCTTGCTCTTGTTGCAGAAGCTTGTCGTACCGGCCCGGACAGTTTGGGCGGGTTGAGCGGAAGGTTGTCATGCAACTTCTGGAATAATGGGGATGGCGGGCTTCTGGGCCAGCAAGATTGGCGAGGGATATATTATGGCAAGCATTCCTAACATCATGTATAGATGGCAACAGCTCCTTGTATGCTAGAAAGTGACTATCGGGACTCGGTAGGCAGTATGGGTTGGTGAACACCGGTTACTGGAAACTGCGTTATGATGTTGGAAGGAGGCATACAGCTCTTGTTTGTATTAATGCCTACGGGCCCCGCGGCCATTATGGCTCTGGGTCTTTTCATTCACATTTTTTTTGGTTCCCCCTTTGGCATGTGGCCTCGTTAATCACATCTTTAGATACAACATCTCAAACAAACACTCGAACTTACCCGTGTCCAACTCCACACCATGGACGGTTTCACCGCCTTCATTCGCTTCCCAGCATCGATTCTCTCCTCTTTCCCCGTCCTTGCCATCTGCCTCGTGCTCAGCCTCGCACTCCTTTTTGGGCCCCTCCGCAACTACGTGTATCGCTGGGCACAACAACGCCGCACGCTTGCAACTCTCTTCCCGCCTCCACCGCCGCTTGCCTCCCTCCCGCCTCCTCCAAACGTCCGGCCATTCAAGTCAATCTACCATCACGCCACGAGCGTGTTCCCACACTCACCGGCCTTCCTGATCAGTCTAGACACAACCTTCCCCTCTCGCATCGCCTCCCGCATCTCAATCCTCTCCTCTACGCCACACGCCATGGGCGCCCTATCCGCTGCGCTTCCCGCTGTCACAGAGCTGTATACGTACCTAACCCAGTCTTACCTGCCCACTCGCTGTCCAAACCTCTTCAAACTTACGCCCACCCACCTTTTGACCGCCACAGCACCCCGCTCCCACTCCCTCACCCCCACCCACTCCCTCATCCCCAAAGACCCTCTATTTGCCCTCGGCGCCTTGGTGGATGAGGACTTCTTGTTTCTTCTCTCCGGCCCCTCCGGATACACCCTGGGGGCCTACATCGTGGCCTACGGCACCGGGTTTACGCAGACCGGGCTCCTAGGCGCCAACCTTACGGATTTGCATGCTAAGGTTCCGGGGTGGAATGCAGATCTGGGCAGGAGTGTGGAGCGGTGGGTGGGAAGGTTGCGGGCGGGGGAGGTGTGGGGGCGGTGTAATGTAGGCTTCCCAGTGTAATTTTGAAGGAGAGGGGCTGATGAGGATAGTGGGCGGTGACAGAAAATGGCCGGTTGAGGGAAGAGGAGGGTGAAAATCAGGTGCATAACCATGAGCAATGGGACAGTGAGGGAGTGAATGTGGACGCGAGCGAGGTGAGTCTGAAACTAGTGGTGGGAGAGGGGAAGGCTGATGGCAGGCAAGGCGCATCTGGGGACTGAGATTCAGCTCTTCTATCGCTTGCCCCAGTCAGGGGTGGTCGTCTTCTCGTATAAGACGTTCTTGTATCCGCTGGCGGAGGTGCGTAAGGAGGGGAGCGGACCGGCGCTGGCGGATGCCATAGAGCGGTTGGGGACGGGGAGTGTGCCGGAGATGAAGCGGTATGAGGATGCGGATTTGTGGGGGGAGGCTGTTTGTAGGTATTTGAGAGAGAAGGAAGGAGTGAAAGCCCTGGAGGAAAGAGGGCCCAGTAGCCTGCGAAAACGGCGGCGGGCTCGGAGGAGGAGTGGGTGATGGTTTTGATGATATATATTGCATGAAGGCCATGGATAAATGGAAGCGGATCTCAAATTATGCCTCTTCGTCTTTCAATATATGTGAACGAAGAAATGAATTGAAGCCGAAGGAGAGGCAAAATACCTGCAAGGCCATCCAGACATTACTACTCCACCAACTCATACCGAAACTCTCTCCTGACCCTCTCCGCCAGCCCAAACACCTCCTCCCTACTCCGCCTACTCACCAGCAAAAAATAAGCCAAATAGCTCAACTGCAGGCCCCAGGTCCCTTAAACCTACTACTCCTCTTAAGCACAGTCCGATAATCTACCATCGCCTCCCTCAACACCTCATCCTTCTTCAACAACTCCGCGCCCGCATCCTCCGTCTGCATAACCCCCGCCCTCTCCTCGGCAGTATCATCAGCACAAGATGTCATTGCGGTTCCGTCAGGGACGGCTGCGCCAGCGCGCGGTACCGCGCCTCATCCCCAATCAAGAGGAGCACCTGCAAAGCGTAGTAATCGACGCCGTACGTCAGCGCCGTGGCTACGCTCTCGAAGTACCCGGGCGGACGCGCCTTAACCTCATGAAGCCATACACTCGGCTCCCCTCCCTCCCCCCCCATTCCCATCACCAATCGGGACCATATCCACCCTCCCCTCCACCGTTTTCCCATACTCCATCCGCGACCCCCTAATCCGTCCCTCAGCATAAAACGTTCCACTCCTCAACCCCATCCAGCAAATACTCTCCGCAAACCTCTCCTTCACCAGCGCTACCTCCCCCTCCGGCAAGCCGCGGGGGCAGTAGATTCGCCATCTTCTGAAACCCCGCCGCCTCCCCATCCCCAGGGGACGGGAAATCATCCGCCGCCTTCGCGAACAGAACCTCCCCATCCAACATCACAA